AAGGTAAATATTGTTAGTGCTCACATACAATAACATAGGTAATTCCTAAAACATATGGATTTTAATCTATACTGCAAAAAGGGATTCATGATTTGTAAGTGTGCTATTCTTTATATCCTGAACTATGTTCATAATTCTGATTAAATTGTCAAAGGTTAAGTCTTACAATGAAACATTGAAAAACAATAATAATAAGCAATAATAATAATAATAATTGTTTTTTAGATTTTTATCAGATTGTTTTTATCATTATTTTTAAATGCTTTATCATTGTTTTTATCTGAGTTTATCATATGCCTCACTTATTTGTATGTCAAATTCTTTTTCTATGCTTAGGAAGTTTTCTGCCATGACTTCTGTGAACACTTTTTATGTTATTTGTTCTAACTCCTGCTTTTTCGGTGATACCAATCAGTCTTTTGTTATTCCTGTTTGCATCGTCTAATAGTTGCTGGATTGATTTCTCAGGGTCCCTTGCTATTTTTAAGGGATCTTTCTTTTCATGATCACTAATCACAATCCTATCTTCTATAACTAATATTCTATCTTCACATTACTTCATTCTACTGTGTATAGTTGCAGTGGAGTTTTTAGTCTCCTGGATATCTTTTCAAATATTTTATGGAGTCCATTTCTTACCTTTCTTGGGCAGTCACGCTTGCCATCATTTTTCTAAGCTCCTCTAGTGTTTTTATCTATATCTACTCTAGAGTCAGTAAGCATGTCTTTCAATATGATCATGATCTGTGATTCTCTGAGAAATTATTCCTGATTTGATTTTTTTTCTAAACCCTCATTCTTCTGGTTTCTTACTTCTGCTGTTACCACTTCAGAGAGTAATTCCTCTGTTGATGCTTGTTAAGTGCTTATAATGAGTAACTTCACTGCTAGTAATTAGACATCTTAGGAGGTGACAACTTCTCAGAGGTATCTTCCAAGTGCAGCTGGCTTTTCGATTTTGCAAGATCCTACCTCTTCAATTTATTGGGGATGAGAAGTTGCTGCCTACTTGGCCTAGACCCTGGTTCTTTGGCACTGGCCTACAGTATTTTTTTATCATGCTTAGGCATATCAGTCTTAGTATACCAGGAAGAATAATTGATTAGAACAATTATATAACCTTGGCTAAAGTAGTACAATCAACAATAACAGCATCAAACACAGCCTAGAAAATGACAAAATGTAGTAACTATTGATTTGCCACCTTTAACTATAGGAACTAGATTTGTGGTTATGTAACAAAATCTAAAACAAACCAGAAATTTGTATGCAATAAATAAGCCCTCAATATTGCAACTTTACCCTCAGGGGAGAAAATTTTAAAGGGGTTAGGGGAGAAGAATAGAGAAATAGAAGGAGAGGAAGCGATTAGAAGCGAAGTTGGAGGACAAAAGAAGATAATGCAAAGTTTGGGAAATGGGTGAAGAAGACAGGAGGAAAGGAGAGAAGGAAGAAATAACAAGAACAGAACAACAACAAGAAAAAACTACAAACCATGGTCGTGCTCATATAAAAACAAGAGTGAGCAATCAAGAAAAACCAAAACAACAAAAAATAAAAATAAAGTAAAAAGAGAGAACAAATGTCCACTCCTGCCAGGCATGGTCGTGCATGCCTATGATCCCAGCACTTGGCAGGCTGAGGCGAGGAGATTGCTGTGAGTTCAAGGCCAGCCTGAACTGCACAGTGAAACCCTGTTTCACAAAGACAAAAACAAAAGTCCACTTCAAGAAGTATCTCTGCTGTCTTTAGTAGACATAGTAGACAGACAGAGTCCAGATCCGAGCTGATTAATCCCAGCAAGCCAGTCATATATTTAAGGCAGGTGGTGGAAAATCCCAGCAAGCCTCTATTTTTAGTTCCACTGAAGTTCAGGCTGGTTTCTGACTGTGAAACTGCAACAAAATTTGTGCAGCCTGCAACAGTGTGTGAGCCTCCTGCTGGCTTTAAGTCAGTTCACTCCTGGTTTGAACTCAGCTCCCTGACTTTCAGCAGACCTGAGATCTGCTGCCTGACCTGCAGCTGTTTTGAATTCTGAGCTCAGTTGATCCCTCTCCAAGATGGCTCCCAGCCAATTATTCTTTCCTGGGGTATGTCTGAACCCAAATAACTCACTAACCTCTGCAGTCCACTGTGTCTGCTGTTCCATTCCACTGGTGTGTCCTCTGTTGAGGCCTCTGGGGTTGCCAGTGATGTATCCACAGGTTGAAGTTGTCTCTCCATGCAGTGAGTCCAGGCTCAGGGAGAAAATGCTGCCTGCCACCTCCTTCTTTGTTGAAAGTTCTTTCTTTGCTCTCCCTGTGGGCTTCAGTTCTCACTTCAGATCCTTCCTGGGTCCCAGGGACCCACTTCTCTCCTTCTCTTCCTCACATTGCTGTTTGCCAGTGCCTGGACAGCAAATCTCAGAAATGCTCTTTCTCTGTTACCCACCACCCTACCATCTTTCTGGAAGTCTAACAAAAATTATTTATTATATCATGTCGTAGATCTTATAGCCATTTAAGAAGTACCTTTTTCAATTTTTGATTGCTGTACACAATAATCCCATTCCTCATAACAGCTAACTCTTGGAAGCATCCAATATGGCCTTCAACAGATAAATGGATGAAAATGTTAATAGTATTTACACACAAAGGAAAACTACTCTGCCATAAAGCTAAATTAGAGTTATTTATAAGAAAACAGATGCACCTTGAGACCATAATTTTAAGTGAAATAAACAAGAAACAGCAGCTTGAAGATTGCATGGTTTCTCTTATAACAAACACACAAAACATAAGCAAATAAATAAATAAATAGCAAAATAAAATATAGATGAAAGGAGATAGGGAGACAGGTCTTTTGCAAATGGGAATGAGACCAAGAGATGAAAGGAATAGCAAAGGAAATGAGAGGAAAAGGATAAAATAAGAATTGAAATATGCGGAGGCTACTTTTGAAAGCTTAATGTCACCCAAATTAATGAGAAAGAAATTTAACTGGTACTGAGATGAATGTACCTAGCCAACAGAATGAGTTTTTATTTTTATGTTAGTTATTCTATTAGTACAGCAGCATGTACAGATGCATGCTAGTGCTCAATTACAGTGTACATACTTTAAGGACACATTCTAGTCCAGCTTATCGACCTATCTTTGTGATTCTCCTCACTGCTTATCATGTGTGTTTTTGGTATTCTTATTCTGTTTTCATGAAAGAAAAACGAGCATGGAAAATGTGTACGTATACAACAGTTTCCTCAGTCTGCTGTGATCTCAAAACATCAAGAATTGGGAAGACAAGGTAATTATTTTCTTTGCAATATGAAACATAGTGTATGCTTTATAAGAATTTCCTTTTCTCACTGAAATTCTGGTAAGTCAGATATTTATACATTCTCTTTTAAAGGTCATTGAATGCTTTCACTAAGGCTATGTACTGAATTACACTCTCATGAACAATGTAGTGTAGATCTTTCACTCTACATCCATTGGTAAAATCCTGATACTGTGGAATGCTTAATATGTTTGTGAATGTAATGGGTACAAGACTACCTACTCATTGTGATTTTACTTTGCATTTTATTTCCTCTGAAGTTGAGCATATTTTTCTATGTACTAGAAACTATTTTTCCAATCTTCTATGAAGTATAAATTTATATTTTTGCTAGGTTTATTTGATTTCCTATTATTATGAAATTACTTGTGTTGTTTATGCATCTTGTACACTAATTCATTATTGTATGTATGACACAAAATCTCTATTGTTTTTCTTTTATTGCTCTGTTATTTCATTTGATAAACAGGAATCTCTTTTATGATTTGATTTTTAATGTTATGTTTTATAAAGTGAGAAAACTGAATATACTTATGGTACATAATACATTATTTTGAAAGATATATACATTATAGAGTGTCTAAGGTGAGCTAAATACTATATTATTACTCAAACAGCATTTT